CCATTAAAGTGGTTGATCGAATTATTTCTAGTTCTGCTCCTGAAAGCTCGTCTGGAATTGTACAACTTATAATTAATGGCTCTAATTAAATCGCAACTAATCCTCTCCTTTTGCACTTAATGCCTTCTTCCTGTGTGCCATTGTGTATAAATAGAACGGGAGGCGAAGGCAACATAAATTGAGTTGCGACTGGACGCGATTCTGCTAATGACAAAATGAATTCGGATTGGTATCACATTGAATTTGTAATTGCCCTGAAATTTCGATAAATACCACGGAACCATACGTTATCATTAGAGGCCCATAATTTCATTATAAGCTCATGACCAGTAACGTATATATTCACAAATACGCTCGATTCATATTTAAAGTGCAATGTGTAAACTGTAAAGTATAGAACAATATTATTCTTGTAGAATTATTAAGGTCTTTTGTGAGGCAACAACCTTCCATAAAACCAACTTGTATAAGTATGAATTGCACTGCATTATACCTACTTTGAGTCAAAGGAGTTAGGTGGACTGGAAATTTGCAGATTATTATTATTTCCCTTTTGATTAAAAAATAATAAACCGAATTCGTGTGTTCAAAATGTAAATCTCAAGAACCACTTTCTGCTTTAGTTCGAAAAATCCAATATTGTACACAAAAATTTAAACTTACGATCTAAATTGATGTTGTCGGCGAAAGCATTCCAACATGTTTTCCACTTATCCAAACATGCTTTAAAGTTGTCTCCTTTACAGAATTCGTAGCGCAGGAGTCAAAGTAGTGTCCACAAAGCAGAAATTTTAGCCGTAATCCCAATAATCTGATCCTTTTAAACTGCCGAACAGCAACGTTTGCAGTATAATACGCGTTTTCTTGCAAAGTCGATTAACGTCTTTTAGTTCACTCTTCGACATCGTATCGCTTGAAAACATGCCTTCGGAAGAATTGGCGGTGTCTCTTATTGGTTAAATACATTTTTAGCAGGAAAAACTTACTTGTAATTCGGCAACCATTTTTTTCGAATTGAGTAAGAGCCATTGCTCAGTGACAAAAGTTAGGGGCAATTAAATCTGTATTTATTCTTTTAGTAGCTCGTGGTGGTTACATTGATCATGGCCCGCCTCGTGGCCCGCAGTACTAGATGCGTGCTTAATTCAAGCGAATAAAAAGGTTTAAACCCTTGGGTTTTAACCTCGGGTTTAACCCACAAAATACTACTTTATGTATCTCTCACATTCAAACTTTCCTTTTTAATAAATAAACAAAACAGCGAACTAACTGAAATTCAAATTTATAAAGCACTAAGAGTTTTAAAACTTATGTCCACAGGATTTAAGAATGTAAATATTAAAATTATACAGCGTGTTGATTCGACAGGCGGGACATATATGAAATCCCATGTAAATTTAAAGGAGATTAATTATTGGCTTCCCTAATTCTTTTAGAGTTTAGGTTATTTGAAGACGAGTTTGAAGAGCTTTAAAATCCGCATCTAAAAGAATAACTTTCGATGTTTTTGATTAACCCCATAACGAGATCTTGCCAAAATTATTTTGTAATGTCTGATACTGGTCGATAACTATTCCCTTGATAATTCTATTTAATCATCAATATTTTCTCTTCAGTCGTGTAATCCATGACTAATAATAGAAATAAAGCATTAAATTTCAGTATGACAACTTCATTTGACAATCAACCTTTACCGCAATTGTTCCCTATACATACGGGGCGATAGGAAAGGAGAAATTACAAAATATATTTTTGGCAATATCTCGTTAAGGCGTTAACCAAAAACATCGAAAGCTATTCTTTTAGATGGGAATTTTAATGCTCTTCAAACAACCTAAATACATTTTTCCTCTAAAATAGTTAGGGTAACCCTCGGGGAAACCAATAGTTAACCTCCTTCAAATTTACATGGGATTTCTCGAGGGATTTCTTATGTCCCGCCTGTCGATGCAACACGCTGTATACTTACAGTACCCGCTCTATTATCTACATTACATACAGTGAAAATACTAGAACAGTTCTAGTGAAATTATAAAATAGCGGCAACGTAAGCCGTCTGTATACGTGATAACTCACAAACGGTTTTAAATTTTAAAATTCTGTTTTCACTTTTCACTAATAGTTAGACAATGGACAAGAGCCTAACTGATTAAATTTTGGTAATTTAAACTTTCTGTTCGTCCGTCTGCGTTTGTCGCTCGTTGTCTATATTTGTTTGAAACAGTTTATTTCATATACGGATGGGTGAATTGGGAAGGTTTGTCGTATAAGAGCAGATCAAATTTCATTTACCAGTAATAACTAAGTAGTTTGGGAACGAACGGACTCGTGCTAACAAGATAAACAGAAGGACACCGTTTCAAAAACCGCTTTCTGTCCATTTTCCCAAAAACTCTTTTTAATAATAACTGTTTTCGAATTTTTTCGTAAACCAATACAGTTTCATTGCAAAAAAAATAATAACAAGTTGTAAATCAGCATATGCATGATGAAATCGCATTTTTAGTCATACAGATCAGTATTTTATTAACAAAGCTTAAAATTATCGATCTCACGAGTAATCTAACTCAAAATAGACTAGAGCCTGCACATCTACACTATATCCCTCTCAGCACTAGGTAACTAATATTAGGTGGTTAAGAGATGGGGGTCCAGTCGGCATAAAAGGTAGTAAGCCAAGATGAAAGAGCGTTATTTTATAAATTTAATATATTTCGGTTGACGTCGCAAGTTTGCAACCTTCATCAGAAACTAAAAATGGTAATGAGATTATTCCATACTATGGATAACGAGAACTTACAATTTATATATTGGTCGGAGTACTGGTGATCACAACATTAATTAGACTAGATTTATAAACCATTACTGTTAAATTAAAACGTTGACAAAGATGTTAAAAGATTACAAAATACAGAACACAGACATGTCCAAAAAGGCAAAAATTAAATGTAAAAAAGAAAAGTAAATTTCTTAGTTCCTGTGGTTCGGTACAAATTCACAATGTTTGTACAAAATTGAAGGTAAACTGATGGTTGCAGGAAGATTCGTTCTGGAAAATTCGCCCCAAGGATACCCTGGAAAATTCTTTTCTGCGAAATAGTCTTTACGAGAGTGAGGGACGAGTTTTCTTAGAGCCAAATCTTCCTGGGGCGAGTATGGTTGAATTTACTCCACACGATTTCAGATATTATTAACTGGCGCTTATGACTATTGCATCGTCACAAAAAAACAAGTATATTACAGTTTTCTTGTTAACATGGTACTTATTTGTAGGGGGTACCTCGCGAGAGCACGTCGCTCCGTGGAGGGGGAGGGCTTGTTTTTTGCCCTAAGGAAGGCGGCCATGTGGATGACAGTCCCTCCATATTTGCGGTTCTTGACCCTATAGTCGCGGTTTTTCGATAAATGAACAGGTTAAATATTATCTCAGGGCAGAGAGAAATGCAACGTCCAGAGTAATCTATCTAATCCAATTATGAACGACCAATCGGTTGATATGTCTGAAATTCTGAACCTTTACAAACATGCTCCATGTTTTCTGTTTGTGCGTCGCACACGCCCAACCGAAGCTTTTACAATACGTTTTGTAGAGAATTCATTAATTTTTTAATCCTCGTTTTAATCCTTTATTTATTTTGGGCTTTATTTTTGAGTGGGCGGGGTTTCAGCCAAGGCTGCTCTACCAACGCTCCCAGTTGTAGCACCATCCCTAAAGGTAGCCAGCCAAAGTGAGATTAAAAGTTACATTTTTACAAATAAATTTCCAAAACTTAATAAAATAAATATTGTCACAAATTTCCAGTACTAACGAAATAAACGTGACAAACTAAAATCGATCAGTGCAAATTCATTTAGTGACATGCGATATAATGGGAGTGTAGGTACCCTCCCCTATTTATTTTCTTAATTTCTTTTTTAGGGAGGTGAAATCGAATGAAATAGGGGGGGGGGGGCTAACTTCACGCGGGTGTTACATCTTCAATCTGCAATGATTTCTTGAAATGAAAAAAAATTAGTGGATTCGCAGTGAGAATAACAGCAAACTCTAGTGAACAGGTATTTGATTTTCATGCTCTAGCTAGAATTCTTTCATTTTGCTCTCTTCACACAAATAAAAAAAAGGTTCCAGAGAATTGACAATTGACGAATTCATCCTGCTAGGTATTCGCATTGAATAATAAATCTGAATCTTTATTCAATGGTTCAACGTTATAGTTATTTTACATACCACTACGCTAATTACGACTTTTCACTCTCATTATTATTAATGCGAAAACGATACTTTTCGATTGGGAATGAAAAATAAAAACATAAAATGAGCAGAATTATTTCAATACAACCCTCGTAAATGTACAGTTACAAGATACCAGTTACACACCATATACTGTGTGATAAAACCTATCACGTTATTACAATAACTTGCCGATTCATAAGTGCTTTTACAATGAGGAAGGAACGATTTTTTCACTAAAATAATGTCGACATCGACATTCTTTGTTTTATTATTACACTATGAATTTCCCAACAAACGATTATCGACACCATTAACTACATGTTTTAAAATTAAAATTCCACAACTTGACCTTTCTCTATAATCAAAGCAAGAACAATTATATGTTCAGTTCACTGTAATTGTCACTAATAGAATTTCATTAATAAATTAGGTAATGAAGATGTAAGTAAAATGACTCGCTCCAGTACCTACAGCAATATTGTTTAAATGAAGTTCCGGGAAAACGTAGCATTGGGCTTTATTGTGGAATGGAAAGTAGTTTGCTCATCATTTTAAATAAACCTATGGATTACATTACACCGTGTAGACCTTGCATTTTATAGCATTTGCGTGTCTGATAAGTATTAAGTAATAACAACCACAGCACGTTGACACAGAAACATGTAAAACTTTTTAGGTAGGTAGGTAGGTAAGGTACTCAACCAATACCGTTTCTACTCCACCAGTTCATTTATTCATGAATAGAATCGATTGCTGCATAACTTACAGTATTTTGGAATTGTGACTGTTTCGAAAATCCTCGAGGCATGCATAGGACGTATCCCAAGAAGTTGTTGGTATACAAATCTCTGTTGATAAACAATCCATTGACGAAAAGTGCCATGTATGCCTAACTCTATCCTTCGAAAGCATTCTGGTCTACATTTTAATTAATGACAATTCGATTGAACAATCAAATTCACGTTATTTTTACGTAATCGTTCAACACTTCAACGAACGCGGAACGGCGTGGAACAACACGAGAAAACAGAATTCAGCACGCAAGACGAGTGCCCGAGCCAGCAGCCGACTAATATTGGCAATTTCAGTAGCAGCAGCTGGTAGTTCATCGGCCTAAACAACTCTTTCATAAAGCTCAATGTTCTGCGCACATCGTCGACTGAATAAAAGGTGGGTATTCACCGGGATGCCATGCTAAGCGTGGACTTTATCGTTACCTGCTACAGTTTTTTTTTTGCTTCATCTTAAATTGCTTTTTTGTCTTTGTATAACGTTTTTGTATTTAATATTCTTGGAGGCTACCAAGAATACGAAACGTAGAGCAGATAATGGGACGTATGTTGTTGAATTTTGATAAACGCGCTTTACGTGACCTTTTTCAGATTGCTAAAGCTACACCAACCAATCACACTAATTATTTTATAATCCAATTTTTTTATTTATAACAGGAAATGCGAATAACGGTTCGGCCGGGATAGGTATGCAATTATAATGAAAGTAACGATAATTTGCAGATAATGACATTTCAATTAGACTGACGCAATTTATGCATATTGCAAGAAAATTTTAAACTTTCATTCTCTGGAGTATTATACGTTTTCGAATCGGAAAAATTCAGCGTAATTTTGCGCCCTTCTTGCAGAATGAATAAAACAATTTTTTCCACGACCCAGTTCTTTTAGTTACAGACCCGTGAGGTTGGCAAAACATTAAAAGCGCCAAGCCAATAACGGATTGGTGAACCCTAGACCATGCGAATGTATGTGACCCTCCTCCTCCACCTAGGTCTTTATATTTATTACAATTTCTGATATATTTTCTTATTTGAGACAAATCGCATGCATTCTTGTTTTCTAGGCGATTTAATCACGACCTGCTCTCAAGCTCAAGTACATCTCAAATCCTTTTGCAGTTCTCAAATTCCTTGATTTTCCCCTAAAGCATACTTCAATTTTCTTAAATAGATACGAATTATACGTATCTCAAGTTCTTCCGAATTTTTCGTCAAATTCTTTTCAATTTTCTCTCAATTTTTTTCACTTTTATATTTATTTCTCATTTTCGTCTTCCTTTTATTTCAAGCTCTTAAATTTCTTCTCAACTTGCCATAAAGTTGGTCTCAAGTTCTCAGGTTCGTCAACCTTATTTAGGTGGTAATGATTAAGTTCATCTCGCTGTGTTTTGCGTAATTTGTGTGCTTGAATGATGGAAATGGACAGTGATGCGAGTTTTTCATGCACCCCCGAAGAAATTGTGAACGCGGCAGGTATCGCCACCTCCAATCTGTTACCCGAAAAGTCCAAGGACCAATATTTGAAGGAATATGATTTATTTAAGAAATGGAGAACCGAAAAACACGTTGGAAGTTTTAGTGAAAGGGTGTTATTATGTTATTTTGAAGAAAAATCAAAACAATGGAAGCCGCCAACACTTTGGTCGACCTATTCTAAACTAGAGGCTACACTGTCAATCAATAATAATGTGGATATACGGAAATACTCAAAGCTAATTGCTTATTTGAAGAACAAGTCCGTTGGCCACAAACCTAAGAAATCAAGGACATTTTCTCGAGATGAAATGTACAAGTTCCTTCACAATGCTCCTGATGAACAGTTTCTTATGCACAAGGTATTAACAATTTGATCATTTTACGCTTCATGATGTATTGTCGTTTACAGCTTGCTCTCATTTTTGGAATCGCGGGTGCCCTCCGCCGTGAAGAACTATACAAGATGACTGTGGAAGATATTAACGATACCGGACATGTGCTTATCATTACTATTCCGGATTCAAAAACACATATTCAACGTCGATTTACCGTAATTGGCGAAACAACTCAGAAAAATCTCAATTTAATCGATATTTACCGGAAGTATAAATCTCAAAGACCAAAACATATAAAAACTAAACACTTTTTCTTACAATATCGAAACGGCAATTGCAAAACCCAAGTTGTCGGTATAAATACCTTTTCTAAAATTCCATCAATTATTGCTAAGTGCCCTCAATTTACCAAATCCCGACAATTATACCGGACACACATTTAGACGATCGTCTGCGTGTTTATTAGTTGATTCTGGAGGAGACCTAATTCAACTAAAGAAACACGGCGGTTGGAAGTCGACCGCCGTTGCAGAAGGATACGTCTATGAATCTTTTCAAACTAAAATGGACAGCGCGAGTAAAATTTTTACAAATTAAACTTACCGAAATATTTCCAACCCAATAATCTCCACTGCGCATAATGATGATATTCTTAAAGAGGTTGACGAATCTGTCAGTGTCACTCATTTAATGGATGTAAATCCAGCATCAGCTTCCAAGATTCAAATTGTTAATCCCACTAATTGCACATTAAATATTAATATTTATAAATAAAACCCATCAGTGTTTTGTTATTCTTATGCTTTAATTTTTTTAGGTACGAACGTGAAAAAAGTTTTGTATGCAATTCGTGAGTAAAGTATGTTTTTTCACTCGGCGGAAAAAAGATATACTTTACTCACCTGTTGCATAAATAACTATTTTGATTGATTTGTGGTACCTGCTTCATTAAGAAACCCTCAAAAAGTGGTGAAATTTGCATTTCCTCTTTAATTTTCATTCATAAGAGTTGCAAAGACTGGTGGGACGTCTTTGAATAGGTTTGGGGTATGTCCTTTCCGATTTTTTTTAGGGTGGCTTCCAACCGAAAAACGTTGGAGCCTCGGTTTATTTGGAAGAAGTGCTTGTTTTGGTACCCTCTATCACCCAATTTTTTTGCACCCTGTATATGTTACGGTGAAAGTAATCAATGCGGCGATTAATCTGTAATATGATCAATTTGGGGTGCATTTCCTTTTAAAAGTTTAGGGGTAGGAAAACTACTGCTATTTATGTAACTAAAAAGATATCGCATTTAAAAAAATTATTCGGGGGGCTGTTCAATAAATGTCTCTTCCCTCAATTAATAAATTCACATTGACCGGTATATTATGAATAATCGCCGTATTAATTACTTTGACCGTAGCATATTCAAATACTTTTCCGTAGAAAGTAAAACAAATGTCCACAAGCAGATAATTATGTGGGTAAGAGAAACAAACATTTCACAAAGGGTAATGTAGTACTAATCAATAATTATAGGTAGCAAAGGGCACGTTGCATTAAAAATAGGACTGAGAGAAAAATTGTTCGAAACACGTCCAGATATAAGACAACATTCCTAAAAGATAAATTCCGAGTTAGAAAAACCCCGAACCGGCTAAAGTATAAATAGTGACATTATTTTCTAAAACAGGAAGAAAAGCAATATGTAATGGGTATTATTAGGTACTTATATTATTGTAATGCAGTTATGTACAGCGCATGATGGGCGCGCTATTGAGCAGAAGCACTATTCAATTTTGTAAATGACATTATGGTATTCGGGTACGTGCTAATAAAGATAAATCATTGGGTTGTTGTTATTCTGGCATAACATACGTAACTACCCACCTTTATAAAAGCGTTGTCAAGTTCCCAAATTTTCATCGCATTCCTCTCAATGGTCTTTCAATTTCTGCATAGGTGACCCTCTCGGGTTTGCACCATAGCATAGTTTTTCAACCCATTCCCAATTTATTCTTATGTCAAGTTCCACTTTTCCACGAGCACCTTTCAAGCCCTTTCATGTTCAAGCTTTCCTTAATTTATTCTTTTCAGTACATCTGAGGTTCTCTCTGCAAACATCGAATAACGACTAATTTTTCACTCAACGCTGCAAGTCACCCTAGACTCTTTGCTTCAAGTTCCATTTCCGTGCCCTTCAGGCTGATAACAAATTCCTAATTCAAGTTTTTGAAAATTCGTTTTTCCTCTCCAATGTGTCTTTACGTTTTCTCCCAGTTCCTCTTGGTGTTGCAAATTTTCCTTGAATTGCTTTGGATTTGGGTTCCTCTCACGATCTTCCCTTCTCTGTATTAACTCTTGCGTTAGGTATGAAAAGTTTTGAAACCTCTCAGATCTGCAATGTACTCAAATCTGACCGACCGACTAACGAATTATAGTAAGTCAAAAATGGAAAGGGGAAGCAACTCATTTCCGCACTGAATTGAATCATAGGAGGTGAAAATATGGAGAAGAAAGTGAATATAGAGAACGAGCGAGAAACTCACTTCCGGTTGATGAGTATTGACCAAAATATAATCAGTAACATAAGTAGTAAATATGAAAAAAAGGTTTCCGCCTTAAGGCGAGCAAAGATGATCTTTGAGGCCAGTAACTTTAGCGCATTTTCCATGAACTGATCAGTACTTCCTGAAAACTCACACAACGGACTATTTATGTGTACAAAGGAAAATAAGTTACGGCGTAAATATTCTTATAAATAAGAAAATATCGCAGTCGGCGCATGCACACACCTGATGGTTAAAATATGCGATATGTTTGCCTTTACTACAAAAATCTTTGATTAAAATTTCAAAAAAAGCAAAAAGAACGAACTAAATATGTATGTTGAAAACTGTAGTAGTTAAGGCCTCGGACGGACGGACAGAGAAAATGGCCATAATAGGCCCTTCAAACACGAGTTCGAAAAAAGTTGATTTTTGAAAGGATTTAGAAGCAATTCCGCACATTTAAAATAGACAACTCAATTGATAGAAACGTTAATTTGTTCTGTCGTAGATAATTTTTGGGGATACTTATAACTGTAGGCGTTTTTAAGAGATAACACACAATTAGAACTAGGCCGGGCGCTAAAGGGTTTGAGCATGCATTGAAAGTCTAACGCAGTTTTACTTTTGATTATTGTTGGGAGCATATAGTAGATGAAAAAAATCGATGTCGTCGCATTTCCGCGGTGGGCATCACATGAGGAGGAGGGGGCAAAGTAGCGCGTGTGGCGATTCACTTTATCGTTTCTAACTCAAAGACGGTAATAGTTAGAGCAATGCTTGAAGCGGCTATTTACAGCTACTTATATTGCCTACAAAAAAGGCCCTAAGGATAAAAGTCGTACCTCTAACCGTTTTGTTACAAATAAATTATTTTAAAATATATCTAAATTCGATGGAAAATCATATTTGATGTACATT